CCGTTCGTTACCGTTACCCGTTACCCGTAAACCGAAACGAACGACGACGTCTTCGTTACTCTACTACTACTACACGTACGTACGTACCTCCCTCTCTCTCTCTCTCTCTCTCTCTCTCTCTCTCTCTCTCTCTCTAGGTCTTTGTTCTTCTCTCCTTTTCAGTTGTTCGATCATCTTATTCTTTTTATGGTTAAAAAGCAAGAGATAGATGATGCGTTTTGGGGTTTCTGTTTCTTCTTTCTTGAGTATTGAGAGGGATAGAGATCAATTACGATCATTTTGCATCTTTATTGTTGTGATTACCTCATTCAAAGAGAATTTTATTTTGAAATTTTTTATTTTTAACCTGATGGATAATCTTATGAGTAATATCGAGAGATTACGACAATTTTGCATCTTTATTGTTGTGATTACCTCATTCAATGAGAATTTTATTTTGAAATTTTTTATTTTTAACCTGATGGATAACCTTATGAGTAATCTATGTTGGGTATGGTATATGCAAATGCAAATGCTACAACGGGAAAACTTTGTCGTTCCTTCTGAATGGTGTGCACGCTCATAATTTTTGGTTTGATAGAAATATGGGGGAATAATTTATTTTCTTGTGCAGCTCAGACTTAATGAGTTTTCCAGCCATTTCTTGATCTAGGTTGGCCCCAGTGTAATGACAATATCACTGCCTGTAGTGTCATTACTATTGCAGATACCCCTTCGATTTATTCCTTCCTTCCCCATCACTCTCTGTAATGACAATATCAACATAAACCACCGAGACAATTATACCTCTGGATTACCTTTGACTTTGTCGTTCCTTTTGAATGGTGTGTTCACTAATAGTTTTGGGTTTGATATGGGGGAAGAATTTCTTTTATTGTGCAGCTCAGACTTAATGAGTTTTCCAGCCGTTTCTTGATCTAGGTTGGCCCCAGTGTAATGACAATATCACTACCTTTAATGTCATTACTATTGCTGATACCCCTTCAATTTATTCCTTCCTTCCCCATCACTCCCTGTAATGACAATATCAACATAAACCACTGAGACAACTATAAATGTGGATTGCCTTTGAATAAATACCGAGTGGTTGTCGAAACCCATAAGCTATAGCAATTTCACAGAACTTCTCAAACGGTGCGCATGGGGACTACTTCAGGCCATAATGGCTTTGTTACCTTGCGTAACTTCTCTGACTCCCCCTAAGCAATTATTGGTAGTTGCTCCATGAATATCTTGTCTCGTAAATCACCATGAAGAAAGGCATTTTATCATCAGGTTGCCACAATGACTACCCCTTGTTTGTTACTACAGGTATTAGCACTTGAATATAATAAAGTTTAGAGACAGGGGCAAATATCTCAGAGTAATCAATACTAAAAGTTTGTGTATACCTATCCCACCGACCTTGCCTTAAACCTTTCCACGGTTCCGCTTGGCTAATATTTAACTGCATAAACCCAATGACATCCAACAGGATGCTTTCCTGCCAGGTAATTCAATAAGTTCCCACGTTCCATTTGATTAAAGTGTTTCCATTCCTCCTCCATTGCTCCCTTCCGATCTATATGAGAAATAGCTTCCTGGTAAGACTTAAAGTATAGAAATAGAGGAAGTGATAAAGCAAAATTTCGATATGAAGGAGACAAATTTGTAAATGTAACAAAAGGGGCAGTTGGATGTTGAGTACAAGATCGTTGACCTTTACAAAGGGCTAGGAGAACATCAGCATTAGCAGGCGCATAAGTTGGATCATGAATTGGGTTTGAATTTGTAGGCTAAGGTGGAGACTGATTGGCTTGCTGAGTTGGTGGTGGGTGTACTTACTTCACTTTCCTTTTGGGCCTTCTTTTGTGGCACAACAAGCGGAGAAGATGCATACTCTATAGGGTTAGGCAATTGAGGTTGTGATAAAGAAACATCAACAGGGGTAGGAATAGGAACTGTAGAAGGGGAAGGAGAATGCACTTCATTATGCTAATTCTCCCTCTGAATAGAATAAAATAAAACACTTTCAAGCAGTGTTTAAAAAAACGCCAAGTCGAACCGGACTCGCCCGGTTCGATTCGGGAATCGCCATGAACGGATCGAATCGGCGAAAAAAACGGGAATCGTCTGGTTCTAGAGAGAACCGGACGATTCTGTGCAGTGACTCGCCGATTTACTGTACGGAATCGGCGAGTCCGTACAGTGAATCGGCGAGTCCCGTACGGAATTTATTATTTATTTATTTTTTATTTTTTTATTTATTTATTTTTTATTTTTTTTACTTTTGTAATCCATGATAGATTTTTTTGTAATACTTGATCGATTTTTTTGTAATCCATGATCGAATTGTTTTTTTTTTTTGTAATCCATGATCGAATTGTTTTTTTTTTTGTAATCCATGATCGAATTTTTTGTTTTTTTTTTTTTGTAACCCATGATAGAATTTTTTGTAATCCATGATCGAATTTTTAGTAATCCAT